AAAGGCACGTCGTCAACATACAAAGCAAATCGAAGACGAGATAACGTTTTTGTATTGTGGGTTTTCTACATACACATGCACGCACAAACGCCCACGCACCACACACACACTTTATATTTATCTATCTGTATTAGAGAGATAGATAAGTAATTAACAGATAGATATAAGAGATACAATACATACAGGCATAGATAAATAGGTAGATAAATATATGGGATAGATAGAGGGCTAGATTTATGTAAATAAAACCTTTCTGAAAAAAATAATTTCATATCCCAATGTTTTCCAACAACAATTCTGCTTTTTTAACTGACGAAAAATCAGGTTTCAGATTCCCAACTGGACCTACTACATTAAATTGCGCTCTTAAAATGTAGGAATAAGGAAGTAAACTTTGGCTTCCACTTAACATATGCGAATTCAAGGTTTGTTGAGGGTTTATATCATTTATCTGTTTTTGTAACAACCGTTTGAAATTACAATTGATTTCCACATATATATCTAATTATGCAGTATCAATAGGATGTTTCTTTATATCTTTGTAGTACTATGGATTTTTTCATTCACTTTATTATCAATGACATGTGAAATCAGTTTTCAAGTTACTTAAATCTGCAAAAGATGATTTGAAAAAAAAAAAAAATGAAGTAAGAAATGCTCAAGGTCACACAAGGAAAATAGTTGCTGTAATATTTTAGTGTAATGCTGACGGGTGATCACATTGCCCACTCTAGTTTTCTTTGTGTTATGTAAATGGCTTTATAAATGGCTCAGTCACACAAATTCTTAATTAGTTAAGCTTACGTGACCTCACTTGCTTTGCCTTTCCTTGAATTTTCAGATTATATTATAGTTGTACTAATATCTGCATTATTGTATTATATAGCATTATGGTTATTAATGTTATTATATATTAATAGTGATGAAAAAAAAAACGCGAATCTTTCTAAAAATCAAACAAGTAGGAATAGTAACGGACTCTTTTAGTAATTGGGAGGCTATTTTGTGGTAAAGATACTTTGTGGGTTAAATGTTCTTAAAAATTCACCTGTCACATCAGTTTTTGTTATGGTACCCTCCCCACCAACTAAAAATTATGCAAAATGTCATGAAAAATCTAAAATAAATCTCGTCTATAAATCTCTTTCAGAATATCTAATATTAACATAGCTCTTCAATAATGACCTTCAGCACTATACTTGCACTATTTATGTAATGTATATGTATTATGGATTATATGTATATATTGAATGAATGAATGATATGAATGAATGAATGAATGAATGAATGAATGAATTGAAGAAGAATGAATGAATGAAGAATCTGCCTGAAGATAATTAGTATGATGT